GTACACACCCGCGTAATCGGCAATTTTGGTCAAATGTTCTAATTAACCACATTATGATGAATTCTACCACACGCGAAACCGCTCCGATACAATATTTGTTATCACTCGTAGATTCGGCAATTGATCGACGTTGACGGCTCGTGAGGCCGAATTTTAACGCAAAAGCCGATCGGCCGCGCAATCACCACGCCTCGTTTCGATACGCCCTCGTAACGAAATTGGTTTCGTTGCCAACTCTTTCTGTCGTGAGCAAAACTGAGTTTTAGCGAATGCGCATTGTTAAGCGCTTTTTTTTCGCCGCTGATAATTAAACTCGCGGCCACAATTGCGCGCGGAAGCAAAGCTTTCGGGGGAATTCGTTAGTTCGTTAACGCAATGATGTAATTTCCATCGATTTGCGGGATGCAATGCAATATTCACACGACATTTGTAATGGAATTTAATGTACATTCGCGCGCAGAAATATAATTATGCGCTGATAAATTTCCAGAGCGAACGGAGATTTATTTCGATATATTAAATTTTGAGATCCATCGTGAGAAGAGAATTGCGAATTAACATTTTCTAGAGTTGTTACGAGTTACAAACTAAAACAACGTTGATTGTTCCGACGATTCTCTAATTATAACGCACGTCAGAAGCGTGAAAACTTCGAAATCGCTTGTCTCAAAGACTTTTCGACGCGAAAATATATTACGCTTGCAGCTCATTAATAAACGTTTTGCAAATACATTGAGCTCAATAAAAACGGAAGTTTGCTTTACAAATATTCTTTGTCAGCTCATTATTCGCGATAAAATGGCACGTTTGCTAGCTACTTCTTGTTTAATGCAATTCTGCCAATAAAAAGTTTCTTCATCATTCTTTGATCGTTGCGCATTCAGGAGACATCTGCGACTCTTTTTTTCTGCAAAAAAACACATAATACCCGGACAGGGCTCATTAAGAAGTTCCTGCATCTCTCTCTCTCTACTTCGCTGTTCTATTCGATAAGGGGAGGTTGTTGGGATGGATCGAATCGCTCGAATTGCAGCGTCGACGAGAATCGACAGGGAAATGGCACGTCCCTGTGAAATCCATCTTTTCTCGTGCGTTTGGCATATGAAGCGGTATGTAGTTCAACGATAATCGATTGTCATGTTGCGGCGTGACAATTTAATTCTTTCCTACGCGAGACATCGGCTTTTATAATATACCGTTATTTATGGAGCTTTTATAGGTACTCATTGGAGAAAGCTCAATATGAAATTGTTTCATGAGACTTTTACTTAAAAATATTATTACTAAACTAATTAAGAAATTAGAGAAAAAAAAGATTGTAACCTCTAATTGAAGACAAATTTGCTGGGCAAAATTGCTGAAAGACCAGCGCTTTGTACATACATGATAAACCTTTCATTTCGATTGGATTGCCAATTTTCTTGTAACAATACGTATCTCGTCCTTTGATATGAATATAGTAACTAATCTCTAGAATTATACGGAGAGAGAGTGCTTTTAGGGCACAATGGCATCTACTAAGTCAACACAATCTTATTCGTAACAAGGCTTTACATAACGGGGCTCTGTAATCACCTTAGTTGGTCTAATCAGTCTGATAGCCGTTTGATCTCCGGAATACATCAGATTTGCATGTATTGATCGGTTTAATATTGAAGGGGAATAATGATTGTATTATAATTAACACCGACGTTTATCGCTATGTCGTGAAGCTATAAAATACTCGTCACGTTAAATTTAGTTCTTATCATGTCTCTAAATAAAAACTTAAAACAGAAAATGTCGTTATATCTGTAAATTGATTCGTGAAACTCTGTTTATCATTGTATCGATATTCATTCCTATTTAAGCGCTAAATCCAAAGATAAATTGTTACGGTAGATTATCAATTTCCTGGTAACAGATTCACCACAAACTCATTATCTTTATATCAGATTGCTTCGAAAAATGAAGGGAAATATATTTGAAGAATACATGGAATTGGCACATTTTTTTATCTGCGAAATTAGCTCTGCGATCAAAACATTTCAATCGTACTTCAATTTTATTTTCTATTTTTGTTGAATATAGATTTTAATTTTCACGTATGTGAAAAATGTTAATGGAATTCCCTGTTTTATGACAACAATTGTCATAATCAGGATCTCTAAAGTGAGATCTGATCTTTATACCCGAATTTCGTGGAATACCGCCGAGTTAATCGTCGTGCAATCAATTTCTATTTGTTCTTTCGGTATTTGCGAGAAAAGGAATGTCGGCACGAAATTCCAGAATTTAAAGCCGTCGAATCTATATTAAAAAGAGGAGCTTTTACGAACGGTTCACCCGTTTAAAACTCAAATCATCAAAATATTTCTCTCTTTGTTTCCGCAGCATAATGAAATCTGATGAATTAAAAGTAAAATTAATAAATTAAAAACATTTTTATATTATTATATTGCTTATTGCACCTTTACCGCCGTGATTATTATTCTTTTGTGTTTTTCAACAAACATCAATTCACATCAAAGATCAACGTTATCTTGCAAACTTTCCGATCCACGACAAAAGCGAGCAAATCGAGCAAATATATCCATAGAACAAACGATCGACAGAACGCGACGATGGAATATTGCATAAGCAATTTCGTGTCTCGTTGCGTCGCGTCGACCATGAAAGAGGACGATTCAATATCGCTGTTCGGCGTTGTTCGCCGGAAGTTTAACTTGCACTCGGCCTTTAAACAAGAGTAAATCCAGCCGGGTGCATGGATCGGGCGCGTAGATGAGCTATCGAAAGTACTTTGGAACTCAATATATGGAATGTCTCTCGAAGAGGGTGAAGAAGCCGATCCATCTTTGCCCTCACGAAAGTTTTCGATCCATGACGCGATTGTTTCCGTTACTTCGCGGGGATCGTTTGCGACGAAGAATCGCCGAACTTCTCTTCGCTGCTCTTCCCTTTTTCTTTCGGTGAATTGCGCTCAGCCGAATTACAGCGCGTGCTGTTACGCCAACGCTAAAGCACTTTGTATCGCAACATTCTCGAAAGAACTTTTTGCTCGCTTTTAGCCCTCAGCATTATACTTTCCTGATGGCGCAGCAACGAAGAGACATAAAAGGCCAGGGTGTTTACAATCGAAGATTTTACATTACAGAGACGATAAGCACTAAAAGCAGCGTGTTTTGAAACATTTTGTCGGGCAAAAGCATTTCGGTATGATAAATATTAATTATTGTAGCATATTTTTGCTTTGTGGCAAAAAGTGAGGCAGAGAGAAAACATTCTATCTTTACGTCGAATTACGTAGAAATTAATTTAATTGTTGGGATAATTAAATATATTGTTGACAGGATTGAAAGTTTCTTCGGATTTTGTCTTTTATTTTTATTGAAAAGTCCGAAGGAAAACTTTTTCTTACACAAAAAAGCCGAAACATATATTAATTATTGACACTTTAATTTCAATTATATTCTTCGATTTTGAATCACTTAATGTAACAATTTAATTGCAGAAGATAAATCAATTAATCTTTTGCAAATGCCTCTACAAAGTTAAAAGGAGTTATTTATCGTATAAATTAAAAAATTATATTTATATATTATTGCGTCGTTTGTATCACAAATAAATTACGTTGTATTCGCATTGTCAAGCAATTACTCAACGGGTTGAGTTATATAATTTAAATAACGATTTCAAATTATTTGCACATTACAAGCGTAACGCAATTATGAAATATTCACTCACAGAAGTATCAATCTTGTTCTAATCGAAGTTCCCTCCGCTCAGACTCGCGTAAACATATCGAGGTACCGATTGCAATTTTCTCTCAGCACATTTACAGTTTCATCCCGAGCGTCTCGCAGTAAGACGGGGAGTGAGAAGGCATTTCTTCGCATCGCGCCGCGGCAAATCGATCTATCCGTTTGAGCGAGCGTGCTTTTCCAGTGGAAAAGGGAAAAAAAAATGAGCGACATAACGACGGTTAGATGTGGACGGTGGAATTCTCGGCAATTGCATTGTCGCGCAAAAAATTTCTCCGCCGCGAAGAAGCACGACTCCGACATTCCAAATCTCCCTCTGTTTTGCGCTGCTTTTCCCGATGGCGGTAGAACCGGAGATGGGAACTGTGCGCATGTGTTCGAATGACTTTTCTTACTCTCGCGATTCTCGTAAAGAACAGGATTCCTGCTTTTATTATGTTTGCTGCATTATGTTAGCCAGCCAGGCATTTGTCGTCATCGCCCGGAGTCCCGTAAAGCCGCGTGTGAGGGAAATGGGAGGAATAAACGCGGGTTGAACATTTTTGCGGAATCAGGCTGCGCTTCGCCGAGGGTTGCAGGGAGAAATCGAGTTTCTAAGATGAACAAGTAGCCGGGTTCAAAGGGCGGTAAAGCCCGCGATTCCATTTGGCGCGATTAATCATGAAAGACAAACAGATGGAATCATAACGGACCACATTCGTCTACCGAGGGAGACTGATAACGAAAAATAGCACGGAGATCGTACAAAAAGTGTGGAAAAGCTAAATATAGATACAATTAATAATATCAACAAAAGGAAACACCTCTGCGTTTCGTATTTCCTTCTTTTTATTGTTCTTTAAGAATACGTTACAACGACAATTAATATCCGTTAAATATTTATTTGTATTTTATAACAGTGGAAGATATTTTTCATACACTTATTTATATTTTGTATTGGAAAACAGAAATATAAATGCTGGAGATAAAAAAGACGATTGTTCGTTAGAGAATGGCTTCTGTAATCGCCGTGTGAAAGAAAAGCGATTTTTAATGTGAGTGCCGAGGCGATCATTTAGAGGATTGAGCGATATTTAGAGGAACTGGGGCGTAGCCTAATATCCGTTGAACCGCGAAAATATACTGTTGCTGACTTGACAGAATGATCAAGTTGCTACCTCGCGGTAACTCTATTGTGCGGTTTAGTTGATGTTTGCCCCGTCTAACGTTTCATGTGTCTGTGACAACTTTACGCAATAGAGAAACACATTTGCGTACCTGTCGAGCTTTCTCTTACAGTGCCGCGTCGTCAAAGTCCTTGGAGGAGCCGGAGGGCTGATCCTGTTCTTTCGAAACGTTCGTTGTTGCCTCCAGAATGATCATTTCGCATCCCTCGGGATTCTGCGCCCGCGTCGTCGTGTTGCTGGGCAGCAGAGTCTCTTGCATGGTGTTATTACCGTTACATATCTTGTCCTTGGAACCCTCCTTGGTCCTCGGGGTGTTGCCGTTGGAGTTTCTCGAAAAGCATGGCAAAACCTGAACAGATATAAAAGATCTCGCTGAATGATTTCTGCTCGATTGATGATGCGAGCATTTCAAGCATTTTGGCAACATTAATAATCGCGCACACTGTCTTCATCATTTATTATCATTAACATGTTAGACTGTTTCATCGAGTGATTTATGTATCTATTTTGATTGATGACTTCAAGAACGTTAAGTTACATACATATTATAATCGTATTTTTAATTCACTGAAATAACGAGATCGTATTTTTAATTCACTGAAATAACGAGTGTTTAAAAACTTGACTATTAATTTTATTAGCTCGACAAGCACAGTATCTCGTGTCTTCAACGAGCGTATATTCAAACGTTGTTTGGCTTTACATAGTCTCATTTATTAGCGATATCCTTCAAGACGGTGAGGGTTATAAATTAATTTCACGTGCGGGCGAAATTAATAATCGATCCCATAATTGCAGTTTATGAGAGCTTTCCAAGATTCGTTACGAGACAGTCATCAAGCGCGTTTTATTATTGCGGAACTTGTCGGAAATTGATGAAAGGACGTGATCAAGCCGTGGCAGGTGCGGATGATTAAAAAATAATCCAATGCAGGTCGAGAAGATTTAATCAATCTCGGACGCGACGGAGATGCTCATAACGCGCGGAAGTCGATCCTCATTAATATCGAATCTTTTTCTGCAATTACCGCGCTTCAGTTTTCTGATATCAAATCCACCGTTTATTATCCGGTTTATTATTGCGGAAAGAGATCCGAATGTTACATGGAAAACCATAAGTTACATCAAATAATGTTATTTCTCTTGTAATTTTCATAACACGCGGAATTATACAATATCATATAAATATAAGCAGAGAGACAGAGAGAGAAATGGAGTTGGAAGTTGAAGTTGTAATAAAAATATAAAGCGAAAATAATGAGAAGGAAGAGCGGTATGAAACTCGATACGTATTTTCCGATAATATCAACGAACAGGAGAAATGCAAAATATAAAATATCTTCGCCACACACGCGAATTCTTCCCATTTTATGAACCTGTCGGTACCGAGAAAAATTCAAATCTTCTCGGGAGAAAAATAAAGGGCGCTGTACGCTTTTACCGTAAATTCTCGCCGCGGCAAATGCGATCTGCCACCGGCACTTTCGAACTGACCGAATTCTTCTTACTTAAGATCGAAGGTGGAACATCCGTACGCTTTTACTCGCTTGCGCATTCTTACTGCGCTTTTAGCGTGTGGCTGGCACGTAACGTGCCAAGTAGATTTTATTTCCCGAGTAGACGCGGACAGAAGAAATGCTCGCATATTGATTCGCACAGGCGGAGGGGAGGAGGGCGAAGGATCTAGTCGTCGGTTCATCCTCGAGTGTCCAGCAAGCGGGAATACGTCGTTAAATATATTGGATTCCCGCTCCCTTCGATACTTCCGGCAGCTTCGACGCGAACAGTTTCAATCCCAATTACTCAAAGTGCATCATCGTACAACCTATCTTCGAGAGTGCGCGCACGTGATTTCGACAGCGTCGCGCGTGGTCGCGATGTTTACGATATCATCGAAAAACCGGAGCGACTGGAGTGCGCGCATAATCTTTTATTACTTTATTACTTCACGTTTCCGCGAAGCGGCGCGCTAAGCCCCCGATGCGAGTGAAGTATTAGTTGAATACATTTGCGGGGGCTCGCCGCGAATCCTATTTTTAACGCACCGTTTCCGTTCCGCGTGATCTTCGCGAGGGTGGATTTCGCGCGCAGGATGCTCTCCGCGTGCTCAAATCTTGCCCGACTGTAGCGAGAATAATCCGCTTATCCGCGTACGCTTCGCGCGCCCGAGAGATGAAAGCGACGAAATGAACGATTCGTCCGAGCGCGACTTCGCGAAAAGCGAAGTCCGACGACTGTAAAGCGGAGTAGACGAAGGCGAATTGCGCTCGCGCACGCTACACACTTACCTACCTGCTTGAACTCCTTGCGGAAGTTGTCGTTGAGCCAGGCGTAGAGGAACGGGTTGTAGCAGGTGCTGCTCATGGCGATGCAGTGCGACATGAAGAAGCACAGTCTGTAGTAGGACCAGTCGTTGGCGTACGTGTAGAAGTCGTCGACGATGTTGACGATGTTGAGCGGCATCCAGGAGACGCCGAATATGATGACCATCGCGATCAGCATGCGATTCGTGCGGCGCTTCCTCTCGCGGTCCGCCTCCTCGCGCTTGCTCGTCTTGCTGCCGGGCTTGGAGCGCGCCCGGTTCTTCAGCTTGATCGACACGCAGATGTAGCAGAAGGCGATGACGAAGAACGGCACGACGAACTGCAGTATCGTGGTGAACGAGCTGAAGATCTGGCGGAACGGCTCGCTCGGCCAGTGCTCCTCGCAGTAGATGTGCGGCTCCTCCAGCTGCATGTACAGCCCGTACGGCAGGGTGAGCAGCAGCGCGACCACCCAGACGCTCACGATGATCGCCAGGCACATCTCGATCTTCATGCGCGGATGGAACGGATAGATGATGACCAGGAACCGGTCGATGGCGATGCTGGTGAGCGTGAGCGTGCTGATGTACACGCTCACGCCCTGGGCGTACGGCACCAGGTGGCAGAGGGTCCTGCCGAAGATCCAGCCGCCCAGGAAGGTGTAGAGGGGCGTGAAGGGCACGGCGAGCACGCACAGCAGCACGTCGCTGAGCGCGAGATTCGCGATGAAGAGATTCGTCACCGTGTGCATCTGCCGGTTGCGAATCACCACGAAGACCACCAGCACGTTGCCGAAGATCCCCAGCACGAAGATGAGGATGTAGAAGGCGCAGATGAGTATCTGCACCGCCACGTTCGCCGTCACGTCGTCCTGCGGGTAGCTGGAGCCGTTGTGCAACGCCAACGACACATTGTACATCGCTAATACCGACGACGACGACGACGACAGCACCGACATTATCGGCGTTTCGTTAACCATGACGCATCTTATGAAGATCGCGTTTTGTGTACTTTCCTCTTCCCGCCTCTTCCCCCGTCGGGCGGATCGATCGTGCGTCGGAGCGGCCGCTGACGTGGATGGACTCCGCCGGCACATCACATCTCCCAGGACGACGAGCGGGGGGCCCCCCCGGCTTGATGCGATCCCGCGTAACCGAGAGTCACCCGGAAGAGTGCGGACCCGTCGAGAGGAATATTCGCCGCGGCGTCGCGACGGCCGGCGTCATCGATCTCCCGTGC